GGAGTTATTTTAAATTAATCCTTTTTATTCTAGCAAAGAGAATCTTCCACTTGCAGTCAATCATGGTGACTTACCAGAAGTTAATAGGTCTTGGCTGTGTCAAATTATGAGACACTGTGGAATCTTCAGCACCGCTTGTCAGAAGATTTAAATGAGTGTACGTGTATATTTAAACCTGAATGTACTTTTGACTTCATGTGAACAAAAAATTCAAACATGTAGACCCAATTTTTGTTATTTCAAGACAATAAAAACGTGTGCTATACAACCATTCCACCCGCAAAAGTTTGCTCAAAAATCAGCTGAATTTGTCAAGAAATAAGAAGAGAACCTAAGGGAACCTTTGAGTTAAAGCTGTAAGTCTACACTCCAGTCACATATTGATTGTTTGAAGTGGTGGTGTACAGAGGCAAAAATACAGAAAAGTACCCTCTTTGTTTTTAGCTCTGTTTTGGTCTCCACCAACTAAATATTTGGAAATATTTGGCTCTTTAGCTGCTAAATATTTTCTGATTTAAGTCGTGTTCATTTTTCCAACAATTATTGATCACTTTTTGATGCAAAATTCCTTCGAGATGTTTGAAAGCTTTCTTTGAATCCTCCCTGCTTTTCATTCGATGATGAAATGAAGGAAGTCTTTTCTAACTTTTGTTTACACTTTGGATAATCTGAAGTTTACCCTGTGGATTTTATGTCAAGTCAGATTCAGGTAGCCTCAGAGCACTGTTCCACACACATCTCCTTAAACTGCTAGTAACACATCCTTCTCACTAAACACTTGCACAATACCAATGTGCCCTTTCACCTATCCAGTAACAAGCTTGCTTTTCCAATTTGTCGCATGCTGTGAGGAGAACCTAGCTTCGTGTGCGTGTGTGTTTGTGTGCTGTAAAGGGTCATTCTTTTTCCATGTGCTGCAGTAAACGGGTCATTGCGTCTCCTGGGTGAGCTGGGCTAAAATCTTGCTGCTCACTGACCTGATGCTGCATGTCTGCACAGAACTGCGGGTGATGCATTGACCTCAGATAGCGCCTTGACTAGAGGAGAGGAAATGAAGGTCTGCCCTGAGCTCTGATAACACTGAGCTGCATTAAAGTTCAGGTCTAGGATTTCAAATTCCTTACTTTTCAATATCTGTCCTTGGAGGGGGGGTGGTGGGTGGAAGATGGATAGGCTATATGATATTAAAGCGGCATCGGCTTTTATTATTATTCTTAAACATTATTGATTCATGCACCACATAAATGGCAGTATCGCAACACATTAGAGTTAGTGTAATATGAAAAACTGACCTAAAATAACCCAGTTAAAAGCTTCTTATTAATGCTGAATTGAACAATGTAATATGAAAGGATAAATTTATGGTAGTGCATAAAAAAAAGGAAAACAGAAGCATCTGTGGTCCTTTTATTACACTACACACCTCTTCACAGCACTCAGAAGTGTTGTTGATAGTGCACAGGTCAGTAAAAAGAAAGATTCCAAAAGACACAGATATTTTTTTGTGTTTTTTAAGATGCATATCAGATGGATGCGGGAGAAATTAGAAAAAACCAATGTGCTTAGAATGAAAAACAAAGTAAAAAAACTCCACGTGTGAATGTACTGAATAAAATATTCCTCTGTGAATGGCATGGTGTCTGCATGCATCCTTCTTTTGAAACCTGTTTTACATAGAAAACAGCTTTGCAAGAGTTTGCCAAATTATAAATGCTACATTACATATTGTCCCAACTATACTGTTACAAGCCATTCGTTATTTTTTTTATCAAAACACACAATTTGATTTCCACCTTCCTACTTTCTCATGCAGATAACTGAAGACATTTTGTAACTAAAGTAATAACATAATTGTGACTGTAATGTAATACTGAATTTAGTAGCAATGAGTCAGATTACTTGTTGGTGACTGAATGGCTCTTTAGCAGTTAAATATTGCAATTTCTAACAACCTTGCTCGCTTTATAGAGTAATTGGTCCAAGATATCCTGAATTGAACTTCTTTCTCACATTTGACTCTTTACAAATGTGCAAGTCACTTGGTGATAAATGAATTCAAAACTACAGGGCCCTGTCTGTCAAAAAATGTGCCACTTTAATCACGTGTAACCAGATCTTTTTAAGCAAACCTGGCCCTTGCTGTGGCGAAGAGAGTACTCAAATGGACAAATTTAATTGAGCACTCCAGTTTCACTCACAGTGTGCATCAGTTCATTCAAGTCATTCGATTTGCCCTTTGTACATGCAGCTGGAAATGCATGCGGTGACATATAATAAAAGCTTTTTTTGTACAGGTAGCAGATTTGCACATTGTCTCAGTTTTGCATTACTGTCAATAGATAGACAATGACTTGATATCAAAACACAGCACTTGAGTTAGTGAGCAAGGCATTGTTTTTGGAGGTATGCACAGTAAAATAGTGACAGAACAGGGATGAGCTGAAAAACTAAACATTTTTCTTTAAACAAGGCAATTATCACATTTATATGATTTAGTAGCACATGCTTTGGGGTTTTGGCAGGAAGAATACTCAGAGGACTTCCATGCAGCAACACATTTCTATTTTGTATCTTCTGCTTCTATAAATGAGTTAATCGTGATAATTGCATCAAATAATGTTTCCTTGTCATTCTAGACAAGTTACATGATGCCTTTTTGAGCATCTTTAAAGCACACGGTGCTTTAAAGAATAATGCCATGTTGCTTCAATAAACGTATCTTATTTTTTCAGAAAAAGAGATCCATATTTAAAAGAAGAGTAATTCACACACAGTATTTTGAGTCCAGTCCCACCTGCTGCTCTTTTCACTCCTCACTGCACCAAACCTGCTGCATCTCTGAGTCTTTTGACATGTTTTTTCATAACCCACACAACAGCATTGCTTGTTTTAGCTAATGAATGACTGCAATAATGATGATGGTCCAACTTTCCTGTGGTGACATGTTTTCCTCCGCTTGGTTCCGCAACGGTAGCCCATCACTTCAAACTGTGAAGCGGTCCAGCTGAACATGGTGCCAAATGTACTGCTGCATGCCAGTATACTCCAATATTAGAAAGTGTGACACTTGTTTCATGAGCTCTTTTCTCTCTCTCGTCATTCTGTTAATGTTACTTAAAGGCTTAAATCTTGAGTGTGACTGATGTAGATCAAGTGTATTTTTCCTTTTCCACCTTTTCTTTCCCTTTTTTTTTAAAACCACTATAGAGTTTCTGAGAGATTGAACCAATATAAATAATACTAATAATAATAATGAATGGCTATTTGGGATTTAGCAATGACTGTACCACCATGTGGCCATTTATTAACCACGTTCTAAGCTTTTTGAGTTAAGACGCCACAAAAAAAAAAATTCTTAAAGCACACGCATGAGCTTAAGTAGTATTGCTAAAGTCAGACGAGGCACCCTATTAGTTTTAAGTAAATTATATGTTGCACAGCAGTATTTGGAAGATCTGTTTCATTTCACTTTTTCTTTCTTTATGTAGTGCCAATTCAAAACATTTCCCTCAAGGTACATTAAATGACAAAGTAAAGACCCTACAATACTAAAGAAAGCTGTACAATCAAACGATCCCCTATGAGGATCACTTGATGACAGTAGAAAGGAAAAACTCCCTTTTATCAGGAAGAGATCTCGAACAGCACCAAGAATCACGAAGAGTCAGACATCTGCAGCCACTGGTTGGCGGGTGATGGGAAAGAGAAGTGAGCCTTGTTAATGACACACCGTTTATAAATACATATATAATGACTATGATTATGATTATTACTAGCGGTGATGTAATAGCACTGATAGCTGTATATGGTGTAACTATGTATAGGAACAGATGGATAAAAATAACTGTATCTATAAATGCACTATTATGGATGAGTAATGATAAACAAATGATGAGTTAAGCACATACTAATGCTTAATAGTGTGTGGCATTATTTTAAAGTGGTACCCCTTCACTCTCGTCAGTAATTGTTTCATTAACGTCTCTGTAACTGTAGCAAGATGATTAAGATTTCCTAATAAAGTGACCAGGTAGTGTATTTTACTTTTATGAAATCATATAGGGCACTTATTACTTTTTCTATCGGTTAATTTGAGCATTTTTCCTGGAAAAACAATAAACAGCTTGTTGATAAAATGTCAGAAAAGTGCTGGGAACAGAGTTGTTTTGGTTCTGTGTAATTAAGGGTGCAAAACTGAACTGTGCTCGGTTTCTGTCGTACAAAGTCGCCGATTATGGCATTAGAGTACTGTTGTTCCTTAAACAATTACCAGATTTTTTTTTAAAACAGCTGTTAATAGTTTGTCTGTCTTTAAAGTGGATTTGGCAAACTTGAACATGTACAGTATATTTACCCATCATTTATGCACGTGCCTGCATCAGCCTTGTTTCCTGTGTCTGCGAACAATCCTCATGAGTAAAAAACTAAAAAAAAAGACAACAAGATGAAAAACACTCATAGCCTCTTGATCAATTTGATTTTTAATGATGAAATAATGATTAAAGCAGATTCTGATTTCAAAATTAGAGAGCTGTAAATGTGGTAGATTCTTCCTTTCTGTCAATCCAGGGTCCAAAAATCCTGCCTTTGTACAGAGAAAGTCTGTGGCTTGCCCCATGGGAGGCTGTGGTAAACAAGTGGAAAATAACAGGCTCCTGTCTGGTGTTTGCCAGCCTCTAATGTCTCTGTCCAGTCATCTAGAAGAAAAACAACATGCAGCAGGTTTCTACTGTACAGGGACGGTGACAGGGACAGGAGCAGAGACAGCCAGTACTGATAGAGGATGGGGGGGAGGAAACCTCTCTCTTTGTCTGGTTTCCTTCTACGGGTCAATGCATCTCGCATGTGAATGCACACCTGACATATTTTTACTTGGCTTCTCTTTTTCTTCCCAGTTTTCTCTTCCTTTATTTGCAACAATTTTGCCTTGTTATGCTTTTTAATCTACATCCTTTAGGTGTGCATAAGATCTGCTTTCTTAATTATTCCTTCACCTGCAGGATGCATTTGAAGTGCTGGCAGAGAGCCATGAATTCAATGACATGGAGGGTCCGTGCTTGGCCTTCAGGAGGGCTGCATCTGTGCTGAAGAGTCTGCCCTGGACGGTGCAGAATTTACGGGTCACAGAAGACCTGCCCTGCCTGGGGGAACACTCTATGTGTGTCATAGAGGTAAGGCCCAGTTTCACTTAATCCACAGCAGTCCAGTTAATAGCCAATG